TATTCTGGTTCAATACTTACTGATTAATCTTATTTCTTTAATTAACTTCATTAAATGAAGAATTTTCACCATGTAAATGTGCTTCTCAAATGTAGTCTAAAAGAGATATTAATGTTTTGAAGTAATTATGAATAGCAAATTCATCCTATAAAGTAGTGAAGACTACAGAAATGAATATTAGCAGACTTATTCAGATCATAAAATCATTACCCATAATGACAATAACACAAAACCACAACAGTATGCAAGGTATTAACAAAATCAGAAAAAAAGTCATCATTGTCACTACAGTTTAATATAACAGACATGACAGGTTCAGACTTTATGTATATCTATTTCATTTTTGTTTGTTTGTTTGTTTCCCTGGCTTACCAGGGTATGAAAATGAGACAGAAGTAGATGGTAAGTACACATGTTTCTAATGAAAGGGGGAAGGGTAAATAATTGTGTTACCTGTAATATTTGTCAATTTTCATTACATGAAGCAACACAGCCTAAATAATACAAGCAATTGTAACATTATATATATATGTATAGATAGATAGATATTGATATATATTTTATTCTTATTTTTAATCATAGTAAGCTGAATGTTGGTTTAGGATTTTGTAAATGTATTGTCATATTTGACTCAAGAAGTACATATGAAAATTAAATATTGATATTTATTTTTTTAGATGTTGAAGAACCAACCCCTGGGCCATCTGGGATAGCATCTCAACCCATAATGGATTCTGAAGTTATTGTAACAATGGATGAGAACACTTTGGAGGAGCAAGAAGTTACAGTACCCATTGCAACAATGGACTACACATACTCTGCGGAATTACCCCATTTCTTCACAGAAGAGTAACTATAAAGATGGATTTAGCCGAGACAGTGCAGTGGTCCAAGAGAGAGAGACCTTTCAAGAACTGAGCAGGTCAAGCTTTAATCTTTCTGATGCTGTCATATAAGATTTTGGTTTATTTGTTACTGAGACAGAGCAATATTTGATTTAGATTTTTTCCTTCTCTAAATTTTGTAGAGTTCAGGAGAAAGCAAATTTTATTTAATTCTATTCTAATATTCATTCAAAATAGTTACATGGTTTCAGAGACAGCTTTATTTTAATTATGTTATTATATTCCTTTATTTGCATTATATTCTTTTATTTGCATATTTTTTATGCATAAAACTTAAGTATTTGTGCAATATACATTATTTGCCCACAAAGGTTTTTATTGATTTTGTTTCAAAGGCAGTAACTGTCTTGTGGTCATAAGGCAATATGAAAAGTGTCAGTACATTTTGTATATATAGATTTTTTACACTACTTTTGTAATATATATTTACTGTATGTATCTTACCAGTTTTATTGTTTTATAATCACAGGTCTGAAATAAAGTTGTATTTTTTATGCTTTTATCATAATTAACCTAAATCTAGAATATCTGGAGTAAACAAATATTTCTTTTTACATATCCAAGATCCAAGTTAGAAATGCTTTATGCAAATTGATTTAGCAAAAATAGATAAACCTGTTATAATGGTAATGTTTTAACAGGTTTACCCATTGTGTGGATGGACTAATAGTTTAAAACAATATAAGGTTATCTTTAATGCCCCTTTTTAACAAGCATATGGCATAGAAAGATTAATCATACAGATATCCACATTGCTTTCAGGCTGTAGTTACTACAGTTAACACACACATACACACACAATAAATATATATATTATATATATACATATACATATATACATATACATATGTACATATATATGTTTATATGAATGTATATATGTATGTAGGTATATGTATAAATGTACTCGTATGTATACTTATATATGTATGTATACATACATATATGTACGTATACATACATATAATGCTATACATACATTAACATATCGTATCATACATACATATATGTACATATACATACATATATGTACGTATACATACATACATACATGTACGTATACATACATACACGTACGTATACATACATACATGTACGTATACATACATACATACGTATACATACATACGTACGTATACATACATACATACACGTACATATACATACATACATACACGTACGTATACATACATACATACACGTACGTATACATACATACATGTACGTATACATACATACATACACGTACGTATACATACATACATACACGTACGTATATATAAATACATACACGTACATATATATACATACATACACGTACGTATACATACATACATACATGTACGTATACATACATACATGTATGTATACATACATGTACGTATACATACATACATACATGTACATACATACATACATGTATGTATACATACATACATACATGTACATATACATACATACATGTACATATACATACATACATACATGTACGTATACATACATATATACATGTACGTATACATACATACATGTACGTATACATACATACATACATGTACGTATACATACATACATACATACATGTACGTATACAT